AATTATTTTTTTAAATAAACGCCTTTATTTTTGGAAAAAATGATGAACACGTAAATAAAATAAAACGACAGGGGAATAATTAATTTCATTTGTGGGAACTCTCCCATGTTTGGAGAACAGGAATGTGAAATTAGTACAGCTCCAAAAAGAAAAAAAAGAAAGACGTCGGTGCCCACTTGAGAATTATTTCGTTCTCACTGAGGTCCTTTAGATAAGTGCAACATCAAAGCCGAAACATAATTAAATTACTCAAAATATTTCTTTATCGTATATATATATATATATAAAACGGCCACGCATAAACATTTACATATGAACATATATCCAAATGCGTGTGTTTGAATTTTGTACATGAGAATACCAAAAAACTAATACTCCCCCACTTTTCCCCCTCTCTCTCTCCCTCTCTTTCTCTTTCTCTCTCTCTCTCTCCCTCTTACACACACACACACACACACACACATTGCTTTTTAACAGACAATTCTCTTTCTGTTATTTGAGTTTACTTCCTTTGTAGTTATTAATGTAGATGTGTGCGTGAGTTTGGAAGAGTAAAGAAATTTATAATGTTCAGTGGTCTAAAGATTTGTTTCATTAAATAATTATAATTTCTCGAAGTTACATTTATTGGACAAAATCATTTTGTTCCTCACTCTTCTTCCGTCTTTCAAGAAATTTCCATGATTCTTTCCCACATTTTTATTATCTCAACAAAAAAACTCCAGTAGATGCCTTTTGCAGTTTGAAATATTTAAATAAATGATCATCTGAACTTACGATATTTGCTGAACATGACAAATAATTTAAAATTTCCGAGCCAAATTGTAACAATTTTGATTTGGTCATTAAGGAATTATTTCGTCTCATTCCAAACAGACACTTTTTTGTCTATCGACTGTTCTCTTCGATATATTGGATTTGATTTGATTTAAAGGGCATATCCGTCATTTCATGCCCAATAAAATTTGATTGGGCATCATGGTTTGTGTATTAAATTTAATTTGTGAATTTTAGTTTCATTTAGTTGAAAACGATAGTATTTGTAAAGGACTTCATTTGAAGTTAATGATTTTGATGTGAAGTTCAGTTGGAGATTATTTTATTTTGTGCATTTACTTATTTGTTAATATTAGTTACTGCTTAAATTTTTTTCGTATATCTTGGTTTCCCTGAGAAATTTAATTATTTTATTTGGATCAGTCCTGTTGGAGAGTTCATTCAGATCGTATATCGTTCATTACATGTATAGCACATATGTGGATCCTCCATTTTTAGTATGTAGCTTTGGGTATTAGAAGTATGACCGAGTCGGAGTCAAGTTCGTACTGATTCCTTTTTTTTCTTATTTTCCTCTAAACAGTTTGCCATTCTTTGATGTCTGGTTGGATTCTACAGAGTTTTTGATAAGTCTAATTTAATGTTTGCTTCTCCAGAAGGAGATCATAGGAAGGATATTCCTGTCGAATACCGTTTTACAGCATCATCATGTCTTTGAATTAATATTGATATTTTATACAAGTGTTCGTAATTCACGATACTTGCTGTACGACATCTTTAGTTTTTATTGGGAAATATCCTTATTTTCACGTTCTTCCCAATCTGTTTAAAAAGAAAACAGCAACATTTTCTTAATGTGTAAATTTTTTGAATCGCACACAGAAATATTGTCCAGTAGTTTGTTTTTTTTTTATTTTCGATGAACTCATGTGCATACCATATATGAAAATATAATCAAGCTAGGACTGATTATTTTCAAACCTCGATTTAGATATTTTGAAGATGTTGTCTAACCAGCCCGCAACGTATAACATTGATTATAGACAAATCATCTTCAATGTTATCAACCTCAACTAGTCTATCCGACCGTGGAGCATCGTATCGAGGAAAATCACCAAAACATTTTTAACACATTCATTCGTTCATTGTATCTTCTATATAAATTATTGTTACGAATTCACAACATATAAAGATATGAACTCCAGGTTTTAAAAAAAAAATGGTATTTTCACTCAGATAGGAACACGTGAACAGGTCCCGACGAACATCAAACACTAGATTAACATTTGTAAATAAATTTACAAAATACAAAATAAAAACTATAGGAAAATTTTGGAGTGACAGAGGTATAATTAATGAAAGAACACTTTACTGATATTGGATGTCAGTGCAAACGTTTGTGTTTCAGGAATTTGGAGTTCGAATGTTCGTAATGACAGCTATACAAATTAGCTGTAGAATGTCCACAAAACTTGGTTGTTCTTTCTTCTACAATGTGAAATATAAGATTCCGGAATAATATTTGTGTTCCTTGGTTACTTGGATTGTCTCCGACATGAAAATAAGATATTTTCTTTGTATTTATTAGGGTACGATATTATTTTATCCTTTACCCATTAAATAGCCAAATAGACCTAGGATCTCTGGGACGAAATTTCCTTATTCCCTATACAGCAAGTAATGGGATAGAATTGTGGGTGTATTTCTCACCTCTTACGATTGTATGATTTTACTCGCGAACTGTTGTTGTCGGAAGTGATAGGGAAACTAAAATTACAATACCAAAATCCCACTTGATGGTGTATTTCGCGTGAGCGTAGGTGACTGATTCTAACTCATTTTCTTAGGAGATCATTCAGTTTGTTGCCAAACGACCTCAAATTCCTTTCCTGCCCACTCTTAGCCGAAATACAACACAGTGCAGATAGGTAATAATCCAAAACACAAAAAAGAAAGAAGAACACAAAGACAGCGCGTCTCATACAATTTATTGTACATCTGATTTAAAAGTTAACATTGACGGCCATGTCACACTGTACAAATCTTCTTTGTTATTCCTTCGCATTTTTATCTTTTTTGAATTACAAAATTTCTCATAATCTGTTGAAAATATTGAATATTTGCTTGTATGGTTGAAGCAATAAATAAAAAGACGCCAATTTTGACGGAATGTCTTTTCATTTTAACTCACATGCTTCTAACAGCTGTCACGATGAAATGCAATCTTTTTTAATGAAATTAAAACGAAAAGTTCTTTATTCCATCTGACACAGGACGAATTCTTGGGCAACCTCCAAATCTCATGAAATCTTATGAAATCGTAAGGAGATTATAGAAAATGATTGACATGAACTTGAAAACCAAAATATCAAGGATCTATTTTCTGTTTGTTTTTAAATTTTATAAAAATGTTATTTTTTAATAATTTATGGCTAACCATATATGTTTGTGTTGTTTTATTACAAGGAAATGGTATATATATATATATATATACACTTTGTATGATGTGTAGGTTTCAGGTGTGTGTCTGTATGTGTGTGGTCTGTCTAGTGTGTTTCTTTTTGCCAGTATGTGTGTATATATTCGTTCTCCACACATATATATTATATTATTATAGAGAAATCTATACAGTAACTACATGTATTTTGTATGGTGTGTTTGTGCGTGTGCGTTTGTGCATGTGTGGTCCGTCTAGTGTTTTTTCCATATGTTGTGTGGGATCGCAAAGTGTGTATATATATACTATTTCCTTGTCACAAAACAATATATATGTATAGAAAATGAATACACACACACACACTAGCAAAAAGACACACGCAGAATACACAAGAATGGAGGAAGGTCTAAAAAGATTCACAGGACATAAAAAGATAAGAACAAAAACCTTATCCCTTCCTCTTTCGCTGACCAATCCTAATTGTTTTATTATCCCTTTAGCAAAGGAACACTCTTCCACCAGTCAAGATGATTTTCGATTACTACTACACACAAAACAATCAACATAAAAAAAAATTAATTCCTTTAAATAATATGTGGAAATAGGTATTCTCGCCTGATGAAGGTCACAAGACCCGAAACCCGTGTAGCAAAAATATAGCACATAAAATATAACTTTTGCGGCGTCTTCTCTCTTTAATATATATATATATATATATATATATATATATATATATATATATATATATTTCGTTAAAGACGACTGACAAGGTACCATGATTAAGCTTTTATTTAATTTTCCTTGTGTACGTACAAGTGTTTTCTTTTCTGGACACAAAGTGTGTAAAATATATCCAAATGTTCTGCATGTTCAAGCACCGCAGCTTTTTCTTGCCCAAATACTTTCGACTTCGTTCAAGATCATCATACTTGATGAATTTCATCTTAATATCAAGAAACTGATTTGAGAACTAGAAAGTATTATTATCAAAATAAATAAACATAATGTCTATATTATTCAATAAAATTAAACCCGAATATTAACCTAATGACATTAATTTGGGTTTATATAAAGAATGAAATTTTAATTTAAAATTAAAGGAGGAATAAAAAGGGGTTTAAAATAAATTTAAAAGATATAGATAAAAGGATGTAAGGGATCCATGGAAATTATATTGCTCTGTATTAATAAATATATTGAGCTCCTTTTGTAGATCAGTTTTAATATTTTAGATTACTAGAATCCACTTGGATTATATACCAACGGATTTGCTACCTTTTATATATATATATATATATATATATATATATATATATATATATATATATATATATATATATATATATATATGTGTGTAAGTGTGTATGATGATACATACATTCATATGAATAATTCTAAGTGGAACATACAAGACTCGGTTTGTAAATCTAGAACGAATCTAACTCCATCATTTCTTCTACCAGAAGAAAAAAAAAGCTGTTTGCAAAAATATATATTGAAGTACATTCCATTACAGAAAGTGGAGATTAAACAATAAGCTAAATTTTTTTAAAAAATGACCGTCGTTATGTTTAACCAAAAGAATTTTTATTTCGTTTATCTCTCACCTTTCCTCTCTTACTTTCTGTCTGTCTCTCCCTCTCTTACAGCTGACACATGTATACTGAGAGATCACTATTATTTTGATGATGGTAAGTAGAATAACGTAAGCACTATGCCAATCACAATTATAAAACTGATTTTGTTTTTTATTACACTATCAACAGCTGTGCTTACAACCACGTCACGTTGAAACACTCACTCCCGTACGATCACCGAAATTAAGCAATGTCGATCCTGGTTAGTACCTAGATGAGTGACCATTTGGTGAATACCCGGTGCTGTAAG